GAGGGCCCGCACCGCGGTGACCCCCCACCCCGCCGCCTCAGCTCGGCCCAGGTCCTCGTGGGTAACTCGGGGTGCGTTTGTTAGTGGGCGGAGGAAGCGGGTCTCACCTTGGCTTCCTGGCAGCATGGCTTATTTTAGGGGCTCCGGAGCCTGGGTCGGTTGTGTCCCATCCACCATCTACTGGCTCCCCGGCTTCTGCAAGCCGCGCAGCCTGAGTCAGGTGTAAAATGGGGAGAGGAGCACGTAGCCGCGATCCGGGGCCTCGCGCCTGTAGTCCGAGATACTCGGGGCTAGAGAATTGAAGGATCCCAGTTCGAAGCCCGCCTGGGTAGGAAAGTCCCTGAGACTTTCCTCCAGTAAACTACAAAAACAGCCAGCAGTGGAGCTGTGGCTCAAGTGGTGGAGCACCAGCCTTGGCCCCAAAATGCTCAGAAATAGTGTTCAGGCCCTGAATTCAAGCCCCAGGAGGGCACAAATAAAAAGTAGCTCTGGGGATTGAGTGAATTAATATTCACCAGCGCTCAGAGATAAGCATGGTACACAGCAAAACTCTTAAGTGCTTTTTATCATTTTGAATCTGGGTACCTGGAGAAGTTTTGTCTCCCCCCCCCCCCACTTTCCCCCTGATCCCGGGGGAAATAGTTAAAAGAAAAAAATATATATAGGGCTAGGAATGTGGCTTAGTGGTAGAGTGCTTGTCTAGTATGCATGAATACCTGGGTTCTGTTCCTCAGTACCACAAAAACAGAAAAAGGCAGAAGTGATGCTGTGGCTCAAGTGTAGAGTGCTACCACTTGAAGGGACAGTGCCCAGGCACTGAGTTTAAGCCCCGAAGGGGAAAAAAAAAAAGAAAAGAAAAATATACATACATATATATGTATATATACACAAATATGGGCTTTTTGTTCGTGTAGTCTGTTGACAACCACAACTTTTCAAGTAAGTTAGAGAAAAGACCAGGCCTAGATAATGCTGATGTCAAAAACTGTAAAGTTCCAAGTTTGGAAAAACCATTGAGGAAATAGTCAACATATTTGTGCAGAAAGAGTTAATAAAGCAAGCCTAAGTGCCATCCTTTGAAAGGTGTGCTTGCAAGGTTGGCCACTGTTTGTTGTATGAGGAACTTAGCTTTTGGGAGTGTGCCCATCTAAGAGAATTTGTTTTATGCTGAATACTATGTTTATGCTGAAATTATCAGCTTCCCTAAAACTCCTAGGCTGGAGCCTCTGCCAGGTTTCCCCGGGCAGAATTACTTAGGTATTGCTGTGTATTCCTTGTTGGGGAGACAGTTTGAAGGAGTCTTGGAGATTGCTAAATGCAATTTGATAAGAGAAAGTATTTGGAGTTCTAATAACAATTTTTTTTGCCCTAAATGGAAATTAGAAAAGCAACAGTATAGATTGTTACTGTGTGTATTGTGTCAAAATAATTGTGTTTAGTTATTACCATGCAGGTGTTCATAAATTGCCTTTCTCTGCCAAGATAATTTTGAGTGAATCATTTTTTGCCAAAGTTATGCTTATCTACTGATTCTAAGTCATAGACCTGGTTCTGTGCATTATTTTGACAGTACATGAGGAGGGTATGTACTTAGGGAGAAGGTACTTCAATATTAAGTGATTAAAGGATCTGACTGTGTATAAAGTAACCTGTAATAAAATCCTTAGCTTTATATACAGAGTAAGTCCTTAACCTGTAACCCTGAAGAAAGCCTTTAATTTGTTGCAATCTAATTCAAGAGTGATGTTCTTAGATTTAAAAGAAGATAGTGGCACAGTGGTAGAGGTGGAGGGTATGCTTAGCGTGTGTGAGCACTGGTTCTAGCCCCAGCAGCACCCCCTTTCATCAAAAATGAATCTCTAGCTGGGTGCCAGTGGCTGACGCCTGTAATCCTAGCTACTCAGAAGGCTGAGATCTGAGGATCGCAGTTCAAAGCCAGCCACGCCAGGAAAGTCTGAGACTCTTTTCTCCAATTAACCACCAGAAAACTGGAAGTGGTGATGTGGCTCAAGTGGTAAAGTGCTAGCCTTGAGCTAAAGAGCTGAAGGACAGCACGCAGGCCCAGAGTTCAAGCCCCACGACACACACACACACACACACACACACACGTAAATATCATCAAATTTGTAAAGTTATGTTTTATATCTGTAATCCCTGCTACCTGGAGGCAGATGATTGAAGTTAGAAGCCCATCTGAGTCAAAAGTTACTGAGATCAACATTGGTGGTTCACATCTCAGGCTGAGACCTGAGAATTGCTATTAGAAGCCAGCCAGAGCAGGAAAGTCAGTGAGACTTTTTTTTTGGGGGGGAGTCCAATCGTGGGGCCTGAACTCTGGGCCTGGGCGCTGTCCCTCAGCTCTTCAGCTCAAGGATAGCACTCTGCCACTTGAGCCACAGTGCTACTTCCAGCTTTTTTCTTTTTGCTTATGTGGTGCTGAGGAATCGAACCCAAGGCCTCATGCATGCAAGGCAAGCACTGTACCACTGAGCCACCTTCCCAGCCCCTCAGTGAGACTTTTATCTTCAGTTAACCACCAAAAAAGCTGGAAGTGAAGTTGTTGCTGAAGTAGTGAGCTAGCTTTGAGCAAAAAAGCTGAAGAATAGAATCTAGGCCCTTGAATTCAAGCCCCAAGAACAGCATACCGACAAAAAAGTTAATGAAACCTCTCAACTCAACAGAAAAGCTGGGCATGGTGGTACATGCCTGTCACCACAGCTACCTGTGAAGTATAGGTGGAAGGGTCACAGACCAAGTCAGCCTGGGAAAAAAATTTAAGACTGTGTCTGAAAAATAATTGTGAAAAGTGCTTGGGAGTGGGCATCTGCCTGGCAAGTTGAAGGACCTGAGTTCAAACTCCTGTACTGGAAAAAAAAAGATTTTCAACCTAGGCTAGGTCAAATGTAATAATGTGCTCACATATAAATAAAACAAAATGCAGGGCTGGGAAGGCAGCAGACTTGGTGTTCAGTGGGGGCAACGCAGACCCCAATTAAACAGGACATTTAGTGTTGACTGTCTTTTTGTGTGTCCTTCCTTAGATAAAAGGTTAGCTCTCTGGTCTCTTATAAGGGTACCATATGAGGGTAGAGCCCTCATGAGGTAATTAACCCTCCAAAGATTTCATCTCTAGGACTTGAGATTATCTTTCAATATGTGAATTGAGGAGGGGGTGCTAGACATCTATTTAGTCCATAATAAGGTGGCTAGTTAGAGTCAAATAGAATGTTCCTTTTGAGTATAGAGCTACACACACCTCCAGTCCTATAGATTGACTTTCTTTTTATTAGCATAAATTAGTTATACAGGGAGAGAGATTTCATTATTTACTGATTTTGAGAACCATCAAAAAGCTGGTCTTGCTATCATTTTTTCTATGTTGTTTTGATATACATATATTTAAGAAAGTCCATAAAGGGGCTGGGAAGGTGGCTCAGTGGTAGAGCCCTTGCCTTGCATGCTCAAGGCCCTGGGTTCAATTCCTCAGCACCACATAAGCAAAAAGAAAAAAAAAGCCGGAAGTGGCGCTGTGGCTCAAGTGGTAGAGCGCTAGCCTTGAGCTGAAGAGCTGAGGGACAGTGCCCAGGCCCAGAGTTCAGGCCCCACGACCGGACCCAAAAAAAGAAAGTCCATAAAATCTTACTTTTGAAGCTTAAGGTGAATTTATTATATTTTTCTTCTACTTTACTTTTCTTAGTAAATAACAGATGCGGGTAAAAGATCCATCCACAGATTTACCTGAAAAAGGCAAAAGAAATAAAAGGCCTTCAATCCCTCATGATGAAGATTCTTCAGATGATATTACAGGTAAGCTGTGGATTTCAGGCCTCCAAATTTTTCCAGGTCCTAAATTGAAGGTGTTGCACAATTTAATTTCAGCAACTGGGGGTTTGAGTCAGTTGAAGCCTGCCTAATGTGCATTAGGCCCTTAAACCTTTTCAGTTTTAGTTCACTTATGTGTAAACCCATGAACAGTTTCACATTTAAAAGTCTGGGGGGCTGGGAAGGTGGCTCAGTGGTAGAGCACTTGCCTTGCATGCCTGAGGCCCTGGGTTCAATTCCTCAGCACCACATAAGCAAAACGAAAAAAGCCGGAAGTGGCGCTGTGGCTCAAGTGGTAGAGTGCTAACCTTGAGCTGAAGAGCTGAGGGACAGCGCCTAGGCCCAGAGTTCAGGCCCCACAACTGGACCCCCCCCCCAAAAAAAAAAAGTCTGAATAGCTAGGCACTGATGGCTCATGTCTGTATCCTAGCTCTTCAGGTGCCTAAGATCTAAGAATCATGGTTCAAAGCCAGCCTGGGCAAGAAAATCTGTGAGACTCTTATATCCAGTTAACCACCAAAAAGCCTAGAAGTGGAACTGTGGCTCAAGGGGTAGAGTAGTGGCTAGCCATGAGAGAGAGAGAGACACACACACACACACACACACTCTCTCTCTCTCTCTCTCTCTAATAGAATCAGAGAATATTTTAGTTGTACCTTGGCCACACACACACACACTCTGAATAATAGAATCAGAGAATATTTTAGTTGTACCTTGGCCACACACACACACTCACACACACACTCTGAATAATAGAATCAGAGAATATTTTAGTTGTACCTTGGCCAGAGCCAAACACAGAGATTATGTAGAAGATATCTAAATGATTTTTTCTTTAGGATTTTAAAATGTAAAATTTAGACAAAACATTTGTCGAACCATTTGTAGATCCTGTACTTGCTGGTATTGGACTTTCCCTGAGCAGTTTTTTCTTTTGTGTGGCCTTGCTTTTGAAACATACTTAAGAATTTAGACTTCAGAATTTTTTTTTATGTCTGGTTTTTTTTTTTTTTTTTGTTCGGTCGTGGGGCTTGAAATCTGGGCCTGAGCGCTGTCCCTCAGCTCTTCAGCTCAAGGCTAGCGCTCCACCACTTGAGCTACAGCACCACTTCCGGTTTTCTGGTGGTTTATTGGAGATAAAGTTTCATGGACTTTCTTGCCCCGGCTGGCTTTGAACTGTGATCCTCAGATCTTAGCCTCCTGAGTAGCTAGGATTACAGGTATGAGGCACCGGCACCCAACTATGTCTGTTTTTATAACTTGCTCTTAGTGTAAAATTAAGAGTCTTAATATTTAATTCAAAT